AAAGGAGAAAGGAAGAAAACCATAGCCAATAGCCCTGCAACGCGCCCCTTACTTGTCCCGCTTCCGCTGAGCCGCAGCCGACACGACACGACCAGGAACAAAGTCAGACAACCCAGATTGCGTCAATAGAGAAGACCCCGTCAAGTCCACACATACATCTAGGCCTCTATCCCAAGAGTAAAGCAACACATCTGCTGGCCGAAGAGCCCCGTCGTTCCCTCCAGACAACCCAAAATTGACCTCCTTCCTTGCAGAAATTCCAGAGCGGAAACAAATATTATTATTATTATTATTATTATTATTATTATTATTATTATTATTATTATTATTATTATTATTATTATTATTATTATTGTCATTATCATTATCATTATCATTATCATTAGAGTTATTATTATTATTAATGGTATAACCATTTTTATTTTATTTATTAAATTGATTACTATCATCATTATTAATAATATATTTATAATTATTTTTTTTTATTATTATTATCATTAGTACTTTTTTTGTATAATATTTATTTTTATAGTTATTTTAATTAGAGTAGTTAAAATCTGACCCGACCCAATAAACTACCTGAAACCGACTTGGACCCCACCTGATTATGACTCGAAAAGTAAGACCCATAAACCAACCCAACCCGACCTGAAATTAACCTGAAATTGATTTGACCCGATATTCAAAGACCCAAACCCGATATGTTTCCGAACTGTTACAGACCCAACCCAATCCTACCCGAACCGAAGACAACCCGAAATCGATTGAACCCGACAAATAACCCATAGTTGACTTAACCCAAAACCTGCTATAACCCCTCTAGGAACCGACCCGGATTGACCTGAACCAACATTGACACGAACCGAATACGAGCTCACCCGAACCTGAGTAAGCAAATAACTGATTTGACTTGACCCAACTTGACTCGCCCTGATAGGCTAAATTGACCCAATTTAACCCGAACCGATAAGTATCGACCCGCGATAGGTCAACCCATAACTATCCTGTGGACCTGAATTGATACCTCTAGTTTTAATATCGTGAATATATAAAAATAAAAATATTTTTATTGTTAATATCAAGATTACAGTTATTCATGTTTGAACCAAACAACAAGGAACTAAATCTCATTCCTCTGTCAAACCAAATAACTGGAAAGGATTTATAATTCATTCCCTTACTTAACCAAACAACTCTCTAAAACTGATTCCATTCCTCCCAAGTATCATTCCTGATTCCATTCCATTCCATTCCTGCAATCCAAACAGGTAAATTACACACCCATCAATACAAGTGCTACGGCATACTATATTTATAGCTTTACTTTAAATATTCCTTCCCTACAAAAATTTTCTTCTAAATACATTGAGTAAGCGAGGCTATGTCAAGGTTTTTCTTTTTTTTAATTGATTTCGACGTAGTATAATTTAAGGAAATGAAATTATAAGAAAGATGTGCTTTGCTGAAGGACCACGTTGAATCAGCTTCATCTGCTGTATGTTAACATTTTTGTAACTTTTGTTCAATATTATTTTTGATAGAACCAATATATACTTATATAGTTCGTTCTGGATTTTATTTGATTATAGACTTATACTCCTGAAATGACATCTTGTGTTTTTCTTATTGTAGTTTGATTCTTATAAATGTTGGCAGTGGTTGTTCGATAGATTGGCTGCTTTTGCTTTTTTTGTTGGTGATTGTATATATGGTAACACGGGGTACCTTTTTGCTAAGCTCTTATGCTTCAAATGTAATTTGGTTTATTGAAAGCAGTTGCTGTCAAAAATCTGGATTTTCAAGCTGATATAGGTTATGCTCTTGGAGACATGTTCACCAAATCACCAGGTTTTACTTATGGATGAAAAAGTTCTAGTTTACCACCCTACATTAGTGGTCTGCAGACCATGTACATATAGGTGTTTAGGAAAAAAGTTTTTTTTTTTGACCATCTACTTGCAGGGAAAAAAAAGTTACTGTTTAATATAAATCCTGCTCGCCTTGTAATCATCCTTTTGTGAACTAATTGTTATGCATATTTAGTATTTATCCCAGTGTTTGATTTTGAAGATTAAATTTCTGCTCTATGCCAGGCATGAGGAATGTTTCTATTTTATCAATAGATAATTCTGCAATTTGACTTATTAGTTATAGTCTGATCAAATCTTTGACCTGCTAGGATTTGTTAAAGCGCAATGGCATAACAAGGAAATTCACAAATCCATGTATTAGCAGCAGAGAAAATTATCAGGCAATGTTACAGGTTGTAGTGAACATGGAATTGAGTGCTACTCACAAACATTTTACTTGCTGTTGGAGAGGCTTAAGAATGCAATGGTTTAAGGAACAATACCACTATACCAGCAGCAGGGAACAACTATAAAATTTAATTCAAGTTATTAATTTATGTTCTTCTTCTCTCCCCTCCCTCCCTTCCTTTTCTCCTTTATCCAAACAAGGGAAACATATTCTTCCTCCCGTCCAGGAAATGATTTTGGCACATCAAAAAGTGATTTAAACACATCCATTGTCAGAGCACAATTGTCTGTACCCCTCTCACATGGAGGTGTGTAAATATCAATAATAGGCGTGCCAAAATCAATTTCCCTCCCGTCCCTTCCCCCCTCTTTTCCTTCCCCTCCCTTCATATAATTGTATCCATAAATAGTGTAAGCAAGTTGATCATCACAATTTTATTTTTTTTTATTTTTTTATTTATTTTTTATTTTTTTAGTAAGTAAGATTTTATTACCAAACGAGGAGGGACAAGCCCTCAAAACCCCAACTACAAAGCCAATCTGGCCGACCAACCCCCTAATCAAAAAACAAAAAACTACCTATTGAAATAGGCAAAAACAGACCAAACAACATCTAAGCTATGGAGGAATACAACTTTTGAGCTGAAACAGCCATTTACAATGAGATCTCTTCCATTTGCTATTTATAAGCTGTTGAGCCTTATCCAGTACTTCACTACAAATAGTATAGCAGAGTCTATCAGGATGAATCAAAGCCTTATCCCAGTAAGCTTTATTCCTAGCAGCCCAAAATTGATAAACACAAGCAGTCAAAGCAGCCAATCTAATTTTCTGTTTCACCTCATCTCTGACACTTCTTTTCCAGTGCTGCCACGTTCTAGTAATGTTAAAGTGTTTTTCCTGGACTTTAATCCAAGCATTCACAGTAGATAAGCATCTTCTGCTATCACCACAGTCAAAGAATAAATGGGAATGAGATTCACTAGCTGCATCACATAACAGGCAAGTATCCACATCACAAACATCAATCTGCTTCAGTTTAGTTCTAGTATTGAGTCTATTCATAACAGCAAGCCAAGAAACGAATGAGTGCTTTGGAATGTTATATTTATTCCAAATCCAACTGCCCCAGCTTACTTTAGGACAATCACCCTGAATCCACTTGTAGGCAGCAGCAATTTTGTAAGAATTCTCCTGCCATTTACCAGCTTCAAACCCAGACTTAAGCTTATCTTTAACAGAACATACTCTCTTCCAAGCCCAACCATCACCCTTCTTAGGAGTGTAACTCCACCAATCCTGATTCTTGAGATACACATTATGGATCCACCTAACCCTCAATGTGTCCTCTTTAACAGCCACCTTCCATACATACTTGCCAAGGGTTGCTCTATTCCAAGTTGCACAGTCCCTGACTCCAAGACCCCCAAACTTTTTAGGTTTACAAACCCAGCTCCATGAAATAGGAGGAGCCTTGGACAGGACAACATTTCCTTCCCAAAGAAAGGCCCTGCATAGCTGGTTAATTCTATCAATGACTGATTTAGGATGAAGCATGCACTGAGCCCAGTAAGTATGCAAGCTCATTAGGACAGAATTGATTAGCACAACTCTAGCTGAGTAGGACAGGTTCTTACTAGACCAACATGTAATTCTTTTAAGCATTTGATCCACCAAACAATCAAAATCAGACTGTCTCAAGTACTTAGCATTCAGAGGGACCCCTATGTACTTAAAAGGAGTAGAGCCAATAACAAAACTAGACCTAGCAAGGATATCCTCCTTCACCTGATCAGTAACATTTCCAAAATACACAGCTGTTTTATTCACATTGGCTTGCAAACCAGAGATAGCTTCAAATCTTCTCAGAGCTTGAACTAAGTAATTCACTGATTTCTTATCACCATGAGAAAAGAGCATCAAATCATCAGCAAAAATAAGGTGATTCAACTGTAATTGCTTGCATCTAGAGTGAAACTTAAAACTGTGAAGCTTTCCCACTTTCTTCAAAAGCCTAGTCAAATACTCCATCACAACTACAAAGAGAAGAGGAGACATGGGGTCACCCTGTCTAACCCCTCTTTTGCCCTTAAAGAAACCATGGAGCCCCCCGTTAATGAAGATAGAGTAAGAAGGAGTAGAAACACACTCCATCACCCAAGAAACAAACTAACTGGGAAAGCCAAGAGCCAACAACATATCTTCAAATATAACTCCAGTGGACAGAATCATATGCTTTCCTCAGGTCAACTTTAAGGTACATCTAGGGGCTCTTCTTCTGTAATTGTAGTCCCTTAACATGTCCTGACACACAAGAACATTGTCTAGAATGGACCTCCTAGCCACAAGATCATCACAAATTTAAAATTGTGGTTAGTTGTTGGCATATATATTTTTAAATAAAGATTGATTTATAAATAAAAAAAGTCGTACAATATCTACAATAATAGATTATGACAATTAAAGCAAAAAAAAAATCATCAATTCGATCCCGTACAAATCGTTACTCATAAAACAACTTTATCGCCCTTGTGATGGAAAAACGTTATGAAAATGAGCAAACAAAGATAAATTATAATTATTGTGATTATACGGAGTAATTGTTTTTGCAATATTTTCGTTTAATTTAGTAATTAGTTAATTAGTTAGTTGTTTACGAAGAAGATAAACTTGTATGAATTATATTTTACGAAGTATCATTTTGTTTGGGACGGTTAATTAACTAGTTATACAACGATAAACCCTAAAATCGATTAACAAATTACAACACCAAAATCCCAGAAATTAAATTAAATTCTTTGTTCCACATCTAAAACAACTAACATTCTACAAAAATATTCAAAAAATGCAACATTGTTCAATTGATTGGTCGAATCTTCCCCCAGAACTACTATCAAAAATTTCCAGTCACTTGAAATCCAGATATGATCACCTCAAATTCCGGGCAGTTTGCAAACAATGGCGATCTTCTACCCCCTTTTCCGGTCACCTTTTGGATACCAAATTACCCCTTCAAATCCCATCTCACTCCGCCATTTTCAAGCAATCAAATTCCCCAATTTTGCTAGTAAGAACTGCCACTGTTCTCCTTCAACCTTTTGATCAGACCTCATCAATGGCGAATCCATGGTTAATCTCTGTTGAAGAGCTAAACCCAGGTAAGCTTCGACCCCGTTTTCCCCTCACTAAAACCACCATTAATGATTTACCCTCAAGTTTCCCAGAAAAATTGGATTTGTTGAATTGTCGGGTTTCGGTTTTGGGTCAAGGGCTTAAGCTCTGTTTTGATTATGGCGGTGAAAAGGTGTTTGATTTTTATGGGTTTCGTGGTTATGCTATTAAAGTGGTCTTACTCTCTGATTGTGGTGCAAAGACTGTTAATAACCATCTTGATGTTGTATTTGCACTTACTAATTTTGGGAATTTGATTCTTTTTGAACTAGAAAGTGGAGAAGTAAGGAGTATAAGTTATGGATTAAGTGATAAGTTTAATTTTAGTGACATTGTAAGTTTAAAGGGGCAGGTTTGTGCTATTGATGGAGGAGGAATTGCTTATCTTATTGATGGTTGTGGAGCAAGCGTGAAAATGGTCACATCTTGCACATTCTCTATGGTTTTTAATTCGTTCAGTACTAAGCTTAAGCTTTTGGTTGAATCGTTTGGGGATCTGTATATGATTCATGGGTCGTGTGATGAATATTTCGAGGTGTATAAGCTTGATTTTGAGCTGCGTGTGTGGGATAAGGTTGATAGTTTGGGAGACCAAATACTATTAGTGACCTTTGATAATTGCTTCTTTGTTGATGCTGAAAGGTTGCCTGGGTTTCGAGGGAATTGCATTGTGTTCCCTAAGGACCGTTTCCATGCCTATAATACTGAATGGTATTATCCTGATGATATATTGCTTCAGAGAGAAAATAGGCGCCCTGAGATTGCTGTGGCCTATTCGGATGAGGGTATCTTTAGGGATAGTCTTTTATTATCTTACTCGGGCTTGTCGGTTTACTTTTGGCCACCTCTGTCTTGGGCTAGACCACGTTTGCTTTCTAAAGATAGGTAAAAAATTTCTCCACCCTGTCCTGCAATACATAATCAAACATGTTACTTGTAAATTTTGTCTAGAAATTGGTGTGCATTGCTTTTGGCTTGCATGCTGTCTGCTTATTGCTTCAAACATTATTTTCTATTGTGCTCTATTTGATATGTTAACTGAAAAACTAATCTAGGCTGCCTCTTCTATTATCAGAATCCTAGCTGGATACAAGCAGGTCAAAGAATGAGCCCCTTGTAGACTTCAATATGCTCCTTTCCCTTTGCTTGAGGCACAGATCATGACGATTGTCCATGGGAGGTAATAAAGCATACATACTGTATATAGCTGCTTGGCCAATATGCATTAATCGGCGACTGGAATTATCCTTCTCCTAAGCTAAAAGCCTCTTTTTCAAGATAGCCATCCTAAAACACTAAAGCTTCTGCTCCAGCTACTAATTCTTTGCTTCAGTTTTATTAAAGTTGCACTTTAAGGAACATATGTCTATCTTGCTTTAGTGTCTCAGGTCCTTAGTCCAACTCTGGTGGTTGTAATTTCAATGTCAGGGACCTTTGTTTGTACTAAGGTTCTGAGTTAGTATATATGTCCTATAACTGGCATTTAGTACTTCTAACTAGTGATCATCTCTTTGTGGAATATTAATGATAACGATAGAAGATATTACTTTATTTTGCATTTTGAGCTGCAGGCAAAAAGTACTTGCTACATAGTATATACAGGTGTTACAGAAATCTGCTGGCTCCTATTTGTTTTGGTGTTTTTTTTGGGTGTTGTGAACTGACCTTTACGGCCTTATGGGATATATTTTATGGTATAATCAGTTTACCATTGCTTTATTTTCTTTTGGTTGAAATGATTGTTCTTTATTCGAGATTATTGTCCTGATCATTTGCATAATTTTTCCTTTCTATACATGAGCAAGTGATAGTTTCACATTTTGTGTTTTCCTTTCTAATTTCGGAGTTTATATGTGATGCTCATTGCACACTTAATACTTCTATTTTTCGGGAGCTTGACAGTCAATTATAGTATGGCATATTTATTAATCTGTCATATACAACTATATATATAACTAGGATGTATATATATAGCTAATTAGGATGCTTCTTTTTGTTGTGTAAGTGCTCTTAGTACATAGATAATTAGGATGAATTTATATAGATAACTAGGATGTATATATATGGATAATTAGGATGCTTCTCTTCGCTGTGTAGGCTCTCTGAGTAGATAAGGTATATCTTTGTTAGGTTCTTTGGCATATTTTAAGAGTCAGGATCTACAATCTCAGTATATCAGCCACACTATGAGATGCATTATAACTTTGTCAAACTATCAGAATGTTCAAGGTCATTGGATTGTTCATGTTTTGGGATAGAATTAATGAAAATGTTTCTTATGCTTCCAACGTAATTTGGTTAAAAAAAGTTTAGTAGCTGACTAGCTGTTAAGAATCAGGATTTTGAAGCATATACAGAGTATCACTGCCCTAAATAATGTACGGAGTATCAGCTATATTTATACTTCAAGATGCATCTTCAGTTTATACTAATGAAAGGACTAAAGGAGTAGTTTTTTTTGACACTTGTAGTTGCAGAATATGTTCACTACCGTACAAAACCTGTTGTTTAATACACTTTGGTCTTGTTTCACCTTTTTGTGTATAGATCATTATATTAAAGTGATTTTAAAAAAAGAAATTAATAATAGGAAAAACATTGAAGCTTAGAATGTGAACCTGGCTTTCTGTTTTACACTTGGCATGAAAAATCTGTCTACATTATTGTTAGGATTCTGGCCATTCTGCTATGTTTTTATAAGTAATAACTGATTGAACTTATGAGTGTTGATCTGTAAGGATATGTTCTAGACTTTGCAGGACAGCAATGGTGTATGGACGAAATCGACTGACTATTTTGCAATAAGGTGTATTTGCATCTGGTATTTTTGTCTGGTGGTCTGGAGTTGTTATGAACAAGGTTTTTCTTTGTTAAGTTAATTGGCTGAAGAAAAAGCATCTCTCAGGAGTATCTAGTATCTAAAAGCTCAGTATGTTTAGCTTGATGCTTGTTTATTCTGTCAAACGATGAGAATATTTTCGTATATTGGATTATTGATGTTTAAGGATAGCAGTTTTTGTTCAAACTTTGTAGTTGCAGGATTGGACGACCTCTGTTTAAGAATATTCATGTTTATTACTGAACTTGATGACTATTTTTTTTTACTTTGAATGATCATTCTGTGTACTTTATTCTATATGTTTAACTTTCAAGCATAGGATTTGGCTACTTTTCTTTAGTGGAATTAGTTTGAAATATATTTCTAGACCTCAGAGAATTGTTCATATTCATGAATTCTATATTGGGTGGAATGAGTATGGTTTGGGTGAGACTGTCCCACGCTAATTTATTGTGAGACATTCACATCACGGAAAAAAGATGTCTTGTAGTAAATTGTTTAGAGACGGTCACATATTAGAGTTTACCAGGACCCCGTGAATGTAGGATATGAATAATTATTTGGAGTATAGATCTTACTGAAAGCTCATTTGGAGTGTAATGGTAGATGATGTTGAGTGTGAAAATTAACAAATAATCCGTGTAAAGTTGTTTAGATGACTAGATGCCATCATACATATTAAATTTTTAATCATCAAAATGCTTAGCCTTAAATTATCTTCATTTACTTTTTCTATCAATAGAGACATGATGGTCTATATTTCTGTCAAAAGTTGACAAACCGACAAAGTGATTTAATTACCTCTGTTGGCATAGTTTGCACATGCATCACCACATAACACGTTGGAATTGAGAATGACCCAGCACCTACCTTTAAAGTTCACACAATCACATCTAGACCGTTCATTAACAAAAAATTCTAATGTTGCATAATTGTTTAGAGCAACTTGCACGTTATTAGTTAGTTTAATAATTTAGATTGATACTTTCGTAAAGGAGTCCCAACCACCATCCTCAAATTGACAAATACAACAAACTTCAGGTTTTGCTACTTATTCAAGACCTCTAGAAACTTTCAATCCCTAAGATATATCTCAAATCTCTGATTGTAATGGATCGTGAAACATGGTCTGCATTGCCGCCGGAGCTGGTACTATCTATCGCAGAGCGGCTCGAAACAAGAACAGACATTATGCAGATCCGGACAGTCTGTCAGACATGGAGGAGTTCTGTCCCTTTATCTATGCTCTCCTCTAGAAACTTTCTGTCTCCTCTCTTTCCGTACAGAGGTATGAGCCATTCTTCAGTTTTAGTGGCAAATTCTGTTTTTCTTCTGCAATCAACTGTGGATTGTAAGCACCAATCGTTGTTGATCTCCGTGGAGGAGCTTAACCCTGGTAAGCTCTATGTCAGAGCACCCCTTTCTCGAGTTGTTACTAGAGTGCTGCCTATTGGTTCCCCGAATAGTTTTGGCTGGTCTGATTTTCAGGAATTAGGTAGATTTTATACTCTTAGAAGGGTGGATAGGCCTGAAGATATGTTCTCTGAGAAGAGATTAACTGAATATGATAATAAGGTGGTTTTGTTTGTGGATCCAAATTGTGAAACTTGTCCAACCATTGATGATTGTACTGTCATAGAGTTGTATGATCAAGTAGATTATTTATCTGTTACAAGGCTTAAAGATGGTGAAACACAGCAAGTATATTTCAAGGGGAGGGAATTTGATGATTTGGTGAGTTTTAGTGGAAGGGTTTATGCAGTTGATTATGAAGGTAGAGTCTGTTCAATGGATTATCAATCGTTAAAGATGTCAAGTGTTAGTGAAGGTCCAGTTCCTGGTGGATCTAGAAGCAATTACAAGAAACGTTTTGCTGTATCATCTGGAGAACTCTATTTAATTTTAAGACGGAGTCAGATTGGTGATCATGAGGCAGCCTTTAAGGTTTTCAAGTTGAATCAGGAGAAGCAGAAATGGGATAGCATTGAAGGTATAGGTGATGACAGGATACTGTTTGTGACCTTTGATGGGTGTTTCTTTGCCTTGGCTAAGGATTTTCCAGGATGGAAAGGAAATTGCATTGTATTCCGTAGAGGCAGTTTCCCTGAGTATTCTGGTATAAGAGATTTTGATTCTAAAATCTTTCAGACATGGAAGCTCCATCTTGATGTTGCTGTTTTTAACTTCGGAGATGGTGATTGTAGGCCTTTAGAAACTTATCCAGGATATTCCTCTGTATTCTGGTCACATCTGCCATGGTGTCAAGCAGATAATTGTTTGTGCAACAGAGGGTTGAGAATACCCTCAACTTATATAAAACAGCTCTAAAAAATATAGCTACTATATGCTTAAGCTTAATAGCTGTCTTTTTCTAGATCAGAAGAACAGAGTTCATGTACTATGCTGACTCTACGAAGGCTTGTTCAGCGGTAAATTCTTATTCAGAGGTGATTCTGAAGAAGCAGAAGAGGAAGAAGGCAATTGAGAAGTAGGCAAACATTGTATGCCATCTGCTACATATTTCATTATAAATTGTGTGCCAGGACTGCCATTAGATATATATTCCGGTATTTTCCCATGAGCAGAATGTTTCTGCTCATTTTTAAGGAGACATGGCATATACTTTCTTTCTACTTACTGTAATTATGCTGAAATTTTTATCTGCTTTAAGAAATCTGTATGGCAGCTTATAACTCCTAAAGATGCATAATTACTTTATACTATAAATGTGTGAGAGATTTTGTTTGTGTTCTACCTTTTTTTTATATAGTTTAGAAAACAAGCTTATTGTTAGATTATTGATGTTTAGGATAGCAATTTTGATTCTACATCTCCAGTTCCAAAAACATGATCTGTCAGAAAGCAAGTCCTTTCTCTTATCAGATTTAGTTCAAATTAGTGACATTACTAGTTTCTATTAACCCTATTTAGAAAGAGGAAGTAGTTATTTGGAATAGATAATCTGCTGGGTTTGTTCTTCCTGTGATTTTGACTAGTTTAGTTCTAAAATTCAAGTTTTAAGTGTAGAATACAGATCTGTGCAGGATTCTGTAATGTAATGGTCTGTATAGTAGTCATAAGCTGGATCAAAGTTGTGACAGATGACTTATTATCAGAGGATCTTGAAATTTTGATCAAAGTTTTGACAGATGAGTTAATACAGAGGATCTTGCATTGTTTTTGTGTCATCTATTCAAGCAAAGCTGTTGAAGACCTGTCAGTTGCTCATCCCATTCCTTCATTTTACTTCACTTCGTTAATTCTCATTAACTGGCAGTAGCTCATTTTTTATATCAAACGATTTGGAAAGTTGAAGTCCCTTACTTATCTTTTACTCTGTTTCGATTCTCAGCAAGCTCCACCAAAGGCTGTAGATTTCAGCCGTCCATTCTGCTGGAAAACTGCCGACTAAACTGCTCCATAATTTGACCCTTAGATGCCGGGAATGACAGGAAATACTCTGCTACCATCCAAACACTGATTTTAATTGCTGGAAATTGCAGAAACAGCTCACAAATTTTCACATTTTTTGTGCTCTAATATTATCTGTTCTCTGTGTGTGTATGCTGCTGGAGTTTTCACTTGCGCCTTTGTTGGGGACCGGTGCTCTGCCTATCGGCCCTTTTGATCTGTCGTTACTGCCACTGCGCTGTGTAGCTGGTGCTGTTCCTTTGATTCTCTGATATATTTCCTCTTTGTATCAGAGGAACCCGAAGTCAAAGTTTAGACTTTGTTAAGGTACTGTTTATGTTTCAGCCCAATGGGCAATGCTTCTCCTTACTGTTTTATTATCTACCAGGGCCCAAACGAAGATCAGATATGCTAAATGTTTTTTTATGTACTCATCGATTTTTAGTAAGTGTTTCAGTTTGACTTTTTGCAATATTTACTAATGTTGTTACGATCGGCTCAATGTTTAATTTGTAAATGTTTGCTTTTTATAAATTGTAATTATGAATAACTAAATGTTTTATTAGTCTAAGTTTCGCATTGACATACAATCTCGTTGAGACTCTTGAAAAAACGAAGAGAATTTACTAGTAGATTAGAGTATTACTTGAGGCCTTATTTTTTAATTCATCATTCTATGATAAAAATTTTCTAGGTAAATTGTATTCTATTCATATGATCATCTTGTTTGAAGACTTGAAGTTTCATTCTGCTTCCAGTTCTGAGTTGAGTATGATAAATTATTGCAATTGTCTAAAAACATTATCTTCTTTATCAGCATTTTTTTTGGGTTTTATTAACTTGATACTGGTTAAAAAAAAATATACATATTGTTATTATTGTGCTAGGGTCTAGGGTTAACTTTGGTAACCAGAATCTGGCTATTGCTGACCAATTCCCAATGCTAGATTTGCGGAATTATTACATTATACAATTCATAAACGTTAATAAATTACTAATAAAAAATTCATAAACCCTGAATCAATCCTACTACTCAAAATAAACCCTATTAATCAAACAATTCATAAACCCTGAATCAGCCATCTAATTTAAGAAACAAATAGAGTAAGTGATTAAAGAATATTTTTCATCCTTTTTGATGGCTGGTTTTTTGCCTTGACCTAGGATTTTCCTGGATGGAAAGGCAATTGCATTGTGTTTTTCAATTTGAGGGTGGCGGTGACTGTAGGCCTATAGCCTCTTACTCAGGCCATTCTGATGTGGTATGGCTCGCTACCTCCATCGTGGCTCTGGACCGGCCGGTACGCGATTGTTTACAAGGTGAGTTTAGCATTCAACTTTATAAAATACAAAGTGCTTAATATTTACATTACTTTGTTTCTTAAGATTAATTGAGTTTGTAAAGAATAATAACTAACTTTTAGATCATTGTTTTTTTTGAAGGAGAAATGAGGAATATTAAAATGATGATGATAGAGGAGAAGAAGATGATCTGGTTATGAACCCTACCATGGGCCGTTCTTGATTGATTAATCAATTGGTTAGTAACCCTTGTCAGATATATACATGTACATTTTCCTAAATTTATAATTTCTTAGAGATCATTCTTCTCAACCTTGTGCAGTTGTGTGATGGAATATGTACTTTGCAAAGATATTTGTTCAAGCTAAGGGTTTTTAATCAAGTTCAATCAGTCTGTCTAAACATCTTAAACAAGTAAGGTTGTAGCTTAAGAGTACGATGTAAAGATGTTGCTAGATTGGATCTCAAAGGAGAAATTCCTAATCAATCAATACCATGCCAAAAAAATGTATCACCACCATTAAATTGATTCAAATCTTGATGAAAAATATGTATGTCAAATTCCAAATTGATATTAGTGAATGGATCCTATGATATTCTATGTGCACAAACCATATACATCTTTCATATTAGTATTGATTAATCATCTATATTATTGAATTATGCTTTACTCATTTCTCAATAGATGCATCGTTTTGATTATTTACCGTATTTATATATTAATTTTGACAATCAATGTCCCATGATACATTAGTATAAGTTGTATACAAATGATATTTTGACACGATAGACAATTATCTTTACATAATTTCTGATGCATGGTTAAAATCAATGTTTATGTTGTCTAAAATTTAGAAATGATGCATCTATTAAGTAACGGAGAAAGTATTGCAAGGATATGTTTTCCCATTTTGCCTTTGGATATGATTGACACGCGTCTCTTAGAGATTTGCGCACACCTCATATAAAAGCTCCCTTAGGATCCCTAATTCACTCATCTCTTCATAAACCTAAAAATTTGCAGCATTGCGGCGATTATTGTCCTAATCCTGCAATGAATCCGGTGATGAAAAAATCCTTCCTTGATCGCCATATCTCCTGGTCTGAATTACCAAAGGAGCTCCTATCTTTGATCGCAAAACGCTTCAACACTCGTGATGACATCCACAAATTCCGAAGTATCTGCAAAACATGGCAAGCATCAGCACCTCTGTCTCTGATCACAATGAATAGCATCTTATCCCAAATTTTACCCATCCAATTCCCTGCTGACCCTGAATTGTCGTCTACTCCCAGAGTTCTGATGGCAAGTTCAGTTTTCCTGCTGCGATCAGCCACCAATCCTGAACTACCGCCATACTTACTGTCAGTTGAGGAGTTTACTCCAGGTAAACTTACCGTCAGATTTCCTCTTTCTGATAATGTTAATGATATTCTGCCTAGAGGTTTTCCAAAAGCATTAGATATATCTCAATTTATTGTATCGGAATTGGGTACATTCGTTACAATGAATTTAATTGATAGCGAATCATTTGTGCGAACAAAGAATGGGAGGCGTCCCACCAACAATAAGGCTATACTGTTTATGGATCCTTATTACGAAACCCCCCTTTCGATCAATGACTGTTCTGTTGTTGAGATGTCAAATTCAATTACTCTATATGTAACAAGACTTGGGACAATGGAAACACACAAGGTTACATTCAAGGGGAGGAAGATCGAGGATATAGTGAGCTATAAGGGTAGGATCTATGCTATGGATCGTACTGGTAAGGTTTGCTACATGGATTATCACTCTTTGAAGACGATAAGTGTTGCAGAAGACTCGGTGTGTGCTGGTGCAGGACCAGAGGGCAGGAAATATTTAGCTGCAGCAACTGATGGACTGTTTTTAGTCTATCGTTGGTGGAGGAAGAATAGGCCAGGCTTTAAGGTCTTTAAGCTGAACGAAGACGAAGAGAGGTGGGATTATCATCAAGGTATAGGTGATGATAGAATCCTGTTTGTCAATTGGAGTGGATGTTTCTTTGCCTCGCCTAAGGATTTCCCTGGATGGAGAGGCAACAGCATTGTATTCCCTGGAGATAGCTTTCGCCCGTATTCTGGTCAGTCCCCTGATCATAAGATCTTCAAGACACAGAACTATAGCCGCCGTCATGATGTTGCTGTTTATCACTTCGACAGTGGTGAATGTTTCCTTGCATCATCTAACCCGGTCTATTTCGACGTTGTGAGGCCACTTCCAGCATGGCTCTGGGCCGTTGCAGGGTGAGATTTTTCTTAAACAACAAAGAAAATTATATTCATATATGTGATTATGTGTATATATATACTTGCAACTTTGTTTTCTTATAAAGATTAGACAAGTTAATTAAAATGCTAACTTTGAGACTATGCATGGTGGTTTGTGAAATAGAAATGAAGACGAGGGAGTACCATACTTTATCAAGCAAGAAGTTGTTGATGAGAATGAGTTTGTTTAAGAAGGTAATCAACCTTACTCCATTCACTAGTTGCTTAGAAGTCATGAAATTGAACCAGTAATAATAATTAGCAGGGCATTACACCTTTTGCCAATTGATTTTAGCTAATCCTGACTAATTTTATTGTATTTTTTTTTTTCGATTATGACATATCAATCTCTCACATTTGAGGCATGGATTTTGTTTCAGGGTTCAATTATCAGAACTATTTTTCTCAATCCGACGATTCAGCTCAAGCCGGGAACTGAGGAAGCAGGATGACCTTGTTCGTTTTCAACTTAATCCGCGCAGTGGTAAAATTTACCATCTTTTTACTAATCGCGATTATGCGGACTTGTTAAAGTGTTTTCTAGATTCTTGTAGGCTTTGAAGCTGCTTCATAAGTTTAAGTTTACTGCTTAAAACTTAGCCTTTGGATGAGAAGGTTTATGTGTTTGGTTTTCAACTTATTTGAATTGTTGGGATTTATTTTGATGATGGATGATTAAATTTGACATTTCTTTGGTAGCATTTTGATTTGGGCTGCAGTAGATCATCAAGTATATCATTTTCACATTGGTATGTGAGATAGATATATATATATATATATATTTTTTTTTTTTTTTTGAAACAATGGTATGTGATATATATTATTAGCCATAATTTGATCAAAGGCTCATGCAGTATACAGATTGATTTGCTTGTGAAATTGTGTGCTACTGAAATAATTCAGTTGTTGAGTGAGTCTCAACAGTTGAAACTAGACTTGGTTATTAGGGGGTTAGGGTGGATCAATAGCGGGTTAATAGTGGACAGATTGATAAACAAGTAAAAAAATAAATAAATGTGTGTGACAAAACTAAATACATGTGAATTTTAAGCTATACATACATTCTTGTTATGCTTAATATATTTTCTTCTAGCTACACAATTATAGGGCTATCACTTTGATCTTGTATTGACCCTGTTCAAAAAAGAGTGTGTTTACATACACATGAGAAGTACCTTGACTTTCCTACAATCATAAGTAAATCAAATAAGATGATTTTTGCTCAATAACCTTGCTCAAAAAATGTTTAGCTCAATATTGGTGGGATATATGAAGGGAATACATTATAGGGGGTTAGCGCAAATATAATGGTGAAGGCGTATGCAAAGTACTCACTGTACATCTATACATCAAGCGTTGACCCAAAGAATATAGAGACTAACTCCAACGAACGAAATAGCTATAACTAATTAAATGAGATTATTTCATTGGAGTTTATGTTCGGAGTATCTGCTCTTATGTTACTTGGTATACTTCCTCCGTAAACGGTTATTTGCAACATTTACTAAAAGTAGGTGCTACTTATTATTTGCATCACTTTCATTTTAGGACAAAAAATATCTATGTTCACACTGCAAATACCTAACATATTCTTACTTTTTCACACTTACTTTTTATTTTATCTTTACATTACATGGACAATTTTGTATTTTACGTTTCTCTCTCTTACTTTTTCCCACTACCAAATTTTGCATAGGCCTCCGTGAACGGTACATTTGTTGCAAATAACCGTTTACGGAGGAAGTATATATGTTTTGACTTTCACATTTAGACTAAACGAACCAAGCACAGGATTCATTTATTTGCCTCTCACAAAAGATAATCTGTGATAGTGATTAGAGACGTTAGTGGGTTAGTCATTGATGAATTAACTTTTATTTTCATTTTCTAGTATAAGTTGAATTTGAGGATTTTACTTTCGAACTTTTCTCTTTAACCATACTAGACGTAAGTCGTACAGTGCATGGGGATTTAGTTATTGTAATAGGATCACTATTTTTTTTTTTTTTTTTTTTTTTTATTTTTATTTTTTACTAACACATTGGTTTTTTACCTACAAAAAACAATTTTTTTTTTTTTATAAATCGCTAAAAAAATATATTATTTTTATATTTTGATTATTTTTAATATACAATCTTATTTTTTAATATATTCAAATTTTTTTAAAAAAAACAGTTATTTTTATAGTAATTCAACTAATTTAAACTATTATTCGTTAATTTTGTTTATATGACGGTCGAGTATTTACTTTTATATTATGAAATTGTAACCCTTTTTTATTTAATTTAAGATTTCATATCATTAATTAGATATATGGATAAAATTCCTATTATTATTATTTTTATTTATTCTAAACATTGAAGTTTCCCGTCAAAAAAAAAAGAAAAAAAAAACATTGAAGTTATTTTTCATTGTAATTTTTTGTTTTATTACGTGACACTTGAATTTAAAATCTTAAACCTTATTTGTAGATTTTGTGACGATTGAATTTTTTTTATTCGAAATAAATTGCAATTCTCTCTTAAGTGCAATTTCTATTATTAATTGTAAATAATGTGGTTCATATATATCCTTAAATATAAATCATTTTATATCTCACTCTATTCTTTATATACAATGTAATGCAACATAGCACTAGTATATTTGATCTTATTAGTTTGTTATACGGTTATACCTTTGAATTTATCATCTTAAATTAATAAATAGATTATTTTTTTCTATTATTAAAATCTTTAATATTAACAAATACTCCATAATTTTTTTAATTATTAATTTGAAATCTCATATTTCAGTAGCGTTTTTCTTTTTTCTTTTTTTTAGGTCTTTCTTTAAATTTGTTATAAATAATGGTATTAATTTTTGCGACGCTTAAATATCGTAATTATGAAATAAATGGTATCATCCTATATCTTTTAGATTATATTCCTGTTAGCAAAGATAAATTTTATTTTTCCTGTAAAAAAAAAGATAAATTTTATTTTATTTGAAGTAATATAAAAATCATTGATCTTATATATTTTTTTTACATACCCTTGAATTTATTATCTTGAAATAATATATAGAAATTATCTTTTTCTATTAATAAAATCTTTAATATAAAGAATAATACTCGTAATATGAAATCTCATATGTCAGTAGCTTTTGATTTTTTTTTTTTTTAAATAAATCTTTCTTTAGATTGGTTATAAATAATGGTACGGTATTTTATGTGGCAATCTGCTATATATGCTCCAAAAAAATCCCTTATTAATAAAACACCACCTAAAATCCTAACCCTAAAAAATTCTATTATTCGATTCATAAACCCTAATCATCAATCATGAATTCCACAAACCCTATGCCTCCTTTAAACAATCCAATGAAAATCAGCAACCATAGTAAGCAAATATCTTGGTCAGATTTACCACCAGATCTCTTATTACCCATTGCTAAACGTCTTGCAACACAACCTGATGTCTTCAGCTTCCGGCAAGTTTGTAAGCTATGGAGAGCATCAGCCCCTCTCTCACTTCTCGTCTCAAAAAACATTTTATCTCCTCTTTTCCCACATCATTTTACAATCAAACCCGATATGTGTTATGCTCCTAAACATTATATCGTGTGTATGAATTGTGTTATTCTCTTGCGGTCAAATGTCAATCCCGAACTCTCGCCTTTTATAATGATTGTTGATGAATATAGGTCCGGTAAGCTATATGTCAGACGTCCCTTTTGTGCTCGTCCCCTTACATGTTATCCTTCTTTTGGTAATGTCAATCTTACTGGTGATCCAGATTTACCACCTTCATTGGATTTGTCTCGATTTCGTGTGTCCGAATTGGCTAGGTTCCCTACTTTGAGTTATTTGAGGGATGCTAATCGTATAATGCAAATAAAACTTTACAAACAAAAACCGTACGACTATCCAAAGCCTAGGGTTGTATTGTTTGTGGATCCAAATTGTGAAAATTGCGCTACTGTAAGTGATTATACACTTGTGGAAGTGTCTCAATATGGAGATCTAATAGTAACAAGGTTTAATGGGGAAAGCCATAATAAGTTTACTTACACTTCCAAGAAAAAGGGAAGAAGGCTTGTAGACTTGGTGAATTTTAAGGGGAAAGTTTATGTCATTGATAACTACCATAAGGTACTTTCGATTGATTATCATTCATTGGAACCGTCGAAAATTGTAAAATCACTAAAAAGTGAAAGAATGGGTTACAACAAATTTCTGTTCGTATCATGTAATGAACTCTATGTAGTTTCTATGTGGTCGACTATGTTGTTGCCGTTGGAGGTAAAGGAAGAGTCCATTGACTTTACGTTGTTTAAGCTGAACGAGAAGGAAAAGAAGTGGGATAAACTTGAAGGTATAGGTGATGATAAGATATTGTTTCTCACATTTGATGGCTCCTTCGTTGCCTCGACCAACGATTTTCCTGGATGTAAAGGAAATTGCATAATATTTTTCAGGTCTACATCGCGAAACTTATATATTAAGATGGATTGTCGTTGTTATTATGAAATTTATGTTTTTCACTTTGATGGTGGTGATAGTGGTCCTATTTCATCTTATCCTGGCTACTCCGATATCGTCGTATGGCCGCCCCCATCGTGGCTCTGGAACTATTCTGCTGGTTCGTCCAAAGGGTGATATTAACCTTCAATGAAAGGATCTTATATGTATGCTTAAATTAAGACTTAAGACATATTACTATATTTTTTTTTCATCTTTTATTTATTACGATTTTTTATTTTAAATAGATTAGATGAGTTGGTGAAACTGTCAAAATGCTAGCTTTTATTAGATATTCCAGTTAATCTATTTGATTGCTGTAGTTTGTCAATTTTTTTGGCCAACTCAGTTTTCTGCCAACATACACGATGATGCGAGGCAGACATGTTACCAAACGAAATATAACTCCGCTACGTTACTCTGTAGAAAATATTTTAATAGTAGTGTTAAATAAGTACTCTGTACTATAAAAGTATTTTAAAAGTAAAACCTAGCAGAAAGTCTATCAAAAATTTTAAAAAATAATAAAAAATTAAAAAATTTAAACGTACGTCATATTGTGAAAAACTACATCTTCTAATCGTTTAATCGAACTTACAAATTTATTTTGCAATATTAATATTCTGTAACTTTATCTTATTATTAATATTTTATAATATGCATTGCATATATGTAAGGTTTCCTTAACATTTTTTTTCTTCTACTATGCATTATTGTAAAGACAGATAAGTTGTGAGCCTCTACCATTCTTCTGTCATATATATGCAGTATCAACCATGCAAAAAGAAAAAAAAATAAAAAAAAATCATGTATTCTCCTGTACAATAATACATAAAAGGGCTACAAATTAAAAATTTCCAAGTTTTTAAAATTGCATTATACACCAAACTGAAGAAACAGGCACACCTGAACATAATTTGCAGGCCACTTTAATCTTCACTTTCAATGTTGACCCACAATCACCTTTATGCAAATTAAAAATAACAATTTTGTTTAATTTGAAAAACAAATTGATCATACATAATAACATAAAATGAAACTTAAAATATGAAAACATATATAGTGGAATGAAAAATAGAAAGGAACTTATTATTTTCAATAGGGTAGGTCTATGAACAATTAACTTTCCTTTTTAAAAAACACTACTAATCTTTCATCAAAAAAAAAAAAACACTAATTTTGGGTTTAGCATCCCTTTATATATATTTTACAAAAAAAAACACTAACACCTTTGTAAGTTTGAGAAGACTTTTTCACACATATTTTTTAAATAACAGTTAATCTTAAAGCTACAATTAGTTTGAAAAAAGTTTAATATATATATTTATTTATTTTTTCTTGCATATTTTCTCTTAATATAGTTCGTTCCAGCGCATATAAGCCAGAAAAGTCTAACTATATTTAAGGTGTCTTATATTTTCAGCACCTTATCATATTAGATTGTGCATAGTTGTAGGTCATCATTCAAAAGGACTAATGACGAAGAATCTCTGTTTACAAAAGTCTTTATTCAAACTAGATTTGAAGGTCCAGCAGACTTCACTTAACACATTATTAGACATTAGCTAGTTTTAACCTTCTCTTGGCTCTTGGAACAAGAATTTGATTTTTGGTTCTAGTGTTTTGCTTATGTAGCCTATTAACCTTTATTTTGTTTTTCGGTGAGTGTATTCTTGCGATTTATTGAGACTACTTCGGCAATGGTACATTAAAAGGAGTTAAATTTGATAAGTTAATTGAAATGGATTAAGTAGTAGTTGAAATCGATAAAGTGCTAAAATTAATAAAAGTATTGAAATAGCAGAAAATCTATCCTGAATTTTGAGATGTCTGCTATTGAGTTGATAGGAGCTCTTTTGCCAATTTATTTGTCCTATAAACGATTTCCACTGCATTAAGCTTGGCTATGTAATATTCTTGTACTTACTGTATTATTAAATTGTAACCCTTTTTATTTAATTTAAGATTTCTTCTCCCATTTCTCGCGCCTGTCTCGAGGCACTGCAAGCGTTTTTCGTTTTTGAAATGGTAAGTAGCGGTCAGAGGGTGGCAAAGAGCGGAGAGGGGAGGTTTCGAAGGATTTGGAGATTTCTGAGTTCATATCAATCACTGAACTAAAAAAAAGTAGAAAAATCATAAGAGAAGAAAGCATGCTTAAGTCAATCGGAAAGGTTTCAAAAAAAGTAGGCATATGTCGTACCAAGAGTATGCATCCGTCTTTATCTCCAAAAACAGGGTGATAAAAATCTTTATACTATTTTTTTATTAATTTAAACTTTAAAGTTATTTTTCGTTGTATTTTTTTTTTTTTTATCATGCCACTTTAAATCTAAAATTTTAAATCTTATCTGTTGATTTTGTAATGATTTCATTCGAAAATAAATTACAAATCTCTTTTTATTAACTAAGAAATCATAATTTCCAATTTGGCAATCTAAAATCTAACTTTAATTTTTTATTTTTTTTGTTACTATAGGGAAAATAATGCATTATATAGTCTTTTAAATTATTTTTAGATAATTTCTTTTATATTACGGTATTACCTCATCATTATTCTTTGCAATGCTTAAATATCATAATTATGAAATAAATGGTATCTGAAAGATTATTTTCCTCAAATCAATCCATTAATTTGATTGATCACAATAAAGCGGAGCCGCATAACCAAAGGCTAGAATCAAGGAGAGTCAAAAGCAATCTCCTAGAAGGAATATTGCCAGCTACAACTTAGGAGTCAACCGACTACAAACTAGGAAAAGATAAATGCTCCTAACTAATTTACATTACAAAATTTTTATTATATATTTAACAGTATCATCTTATATTTTTTGGATTATATTCCTGTTCGCAAGTGATGAAGTTTATTTTATTTGAAATGATATTATTTGTCTATTATACCCTTGAATTTATCATCTCATTGATAATTAATAGATGTTTTATATTAATAAAATCTTTAATATTAAAAATTAATATTATTCTTTTATTAATTTGAAATCTCATATTTCAATATCGTTTGCATTTTATTAGTGATAAGGATTGACTATGTCAATATCAATCCTTGATTATTCTCCTATAATTGAGCTAGAATTATATTCTTGTAACTGAATATGTTGACTTCTAAGCTTCTAGCGTATTACTTTAGCTTGTAAATGTTATATATACTTTCCAAGTCAATGAAAATAATACAACTTATATCTAAATAATGTTAGCGTTCTTTATTTTGATTGATTATAAATAATGGTATTTTATGTGGCACTCCATTATATAATGCTCCAAAAAACTTCTTTATATTAATAAAAACACCACCTAAAATCGCAAGCATAAGAAAATCTATTATTCAATTCATACACCCTAAGCATCAATCATGAACTCCAAAAATCCTAAACCTCCTATATCTTGGTCAGAATTACCATCGGAGCTCTTATTACCCATTGCCAAACGTCTTGCTACACAATCAGAAGTCTTAAACTTCCGAAGAGTTTGTAAGATATGGAAAGCATCATCCCCTCTCTCACTTCTCGCCTCGAAAAATATTTTATCTCCTCTTTTTCCACATCATTTTACAATAAAAAAACGATACGTATTATATTCCTAAACATCAAAGTGTGTGTATGAATTGTGTTATTCTCTTGCGGTCAAATGTCAATCCCGAACTCCCGCCATTTATAATGATTGTTGATAAATATAGCTCCGATAAGCCACATGTTAGACGTCTCTTTCGTACTCGTCCCCAAACAAATTATCCTTATTTTGGCAATTCCAATCTTACTTCATTGGATTTGTCTTGATTTCGTGTGTCGAAATTGGCTAGATTCCCTACGGTGGTGATAGTGGTCCTATTGCATCTTATCCGGGCTATTCCAATTTCATCGTATGGCCGCCCCCGTCATGGCTCTGGAACGAGTTTGGTTCGTCCAAAGGGTGACACTATACTTAAACGCTCAATAAACTTTAATAAAAGGAACTCATATGTATGCTTAATTAAGTTAAAGAGTTAAGATTAATTAATTGCTAATTTTTTCTTCTTTTATTTATTCATCTATTTTAAATAGATTAGATATGTATGCTTAAGTTAAGAGTTAAGATTAATTGCTAACTTTTTCTTCTTTTATTTATTCATCTATTTTAAATATATTAGATGAGATCGTGAAACTTTGAAAGTGGTCTTTTATCAGATGTTATATGCCTATATATGTGGACTAATCTTGTGCGATTGCTATGATTAGGTTTCATAGGAAGTGCTATATGCCTATATATGTGGACGAATTTTATGCAGCAGAAATCATTTAATTGTAGGTTGCAGCAAGTAACAGGTCGTCCATCATGAATTAATACTCAGTATGGAAGCTGCAACAGCAGAATTGATGTGTAGTTGTGTACGACATACTCTGTATCATCCACAAAGTATGTGCTCTACTTTCTTGCAATGACCCCCTTCACCTTTAGGAATTGATCTTGATAAAGCATTAAACAATGTGCTCCGCAGTTTCTGGTTCAATATTATGCAATAACATTTAAATAAACTATTCTCAAGTACACTAAGCTCCCACCCTATATGAGCTTAACTTCCAGTTGAATGTAAGTCGGGTTGCTCCCTCTGTCATAAAGGCTTTAAATATGCACAAAGGCATGGTCAATAGAACAAAATTTGAGGGTATTTTAAAGGAGATCGAGAAGGTCACAACCCAAGTTGCAGACACTAAAACTATGTTTCTTGCCGAAGGTGGTGGTTTAGAACAGATGGCTAGGTGAGCAAAGGAGAACTGTTTGCGAGAGCTTGAAATTTCTTGACTAGATGGCTATCTCGACGGAAGCCTAGGAGCAAAAGTTTGTTGATTTCTATTTATTTTCTTGGTCGAGTGATTTACGAAACTTAAATTTGGGGAGGGTTAGTTTCTGGTATTTCACAATGGACAGCAGCAGCAAGCTACTTTTGAAGTTTTATTATTAAACAAAAATTGCTTGCAGTTCAGAATTTTTTTTTGTTTGGCTCTGCCCCCATTAGGCCTTTCAAACTGTTAATATACTATGTTGTCATTGAATCTATCTGCTTGAGTTTGACAGTAAACTTATTTGCGAACCAAAAGGAAAAAAGATTTCTGAGAGTTATTTCCTGGATCCGAAAGAGATGCGATCACTTGTTTTTCAAAAACTCAAAGCAGTACTATACTAGTGCATATACTATACAATTGCATCAGTTATACTCTCTTAGAAATGTTCTGTAGTATGAAGGTTTAAGCTTCAACTCACCTTGACAATTTTTAAGAAACTAAGGATGAGAATTTGGTTGAGGCCAGCTCTTCCTAGCCGATAAATGGTTGTGCAAACAATATTGACATATTGTCAAGCCTATTGTTAGTGTTAAGAGTATGTTATCCATTCTTCTTTAGTCTTT